ATGGAACCCCGGTGACCAGAAGCCTCTAGAAGCATAGCTCGAGTATGCGGGAACCAAGACTTTTCCTCCAAACTGCCGGGACCTTCCCAGCTCCCAGGTAACCTCTGATTCCAGAAGTCATGCCCACAACCCGCGCCCCAGCGCCATCTTTACAGCACACAGCCACAGAGAAGAAAGGCCGCGGGGGTGCTCCACAGCTCCCAGAGAATGCACCAGGTCCCAAAAAGAGCCGAGATCACCAGGAAGTCCCAGATGGTGTAGGTGCCGCATCTTGCCTCCTCCAGATGGAACCCCTGTGACCAGAAGCCTCTACAAGCTTAGCTCGAGAATGCAGGAACCAGGACTTTTCCTCCAAACCACGCGGCCACTCATGTGACCGCGCAACATCTCCGTATATACAAAGTGATCAATGGAAAGTAAATCATCCAACGTTTCTCCCTGAAAATCAGGCTTAACTCTTATACAAACCACAACACCCAATAGGAGAGAGAGAACAAAAGGGAATGCCCTGCCACAGAGAGAGAGTGGGTTGGGGGGTGGGGGGGTGGGAGGGATACTGGGATCCGCGGTGGTGGGAAATGGTCACCGGTGGAGTGATGGGTATTCAAAATAAATAAATAAAAATAAATAAATAAATAAATATATCTTTTTCTAAAAAAAAAATAATAATAATTACTGTCCTACCTAGTTTCAGTGCAATCCCCATCCAAGTACAGACTGCATTCTTCCAGGATTAAAAAAAATCAAAATAAAGTTTGCATGGAATAGAAGACCATGAAAATTCAAAACAATACTGAAAAATAAGAAATTAGAAAGTATTTTGTTACCTATTTTAGAACTGCATCGCAAAGCTATAATGATCAAAACTTTGTGATACTGGAATAAAGATAGACCCTCTGATCAAAGGGTCTGAATAGAATACCCTATTAAAAGCCCAAATATATGAGCAGTTAATTTTTGTTAAAGGAGTTGAGAATATGAAATAGAGTAAAGATAGTCTCTTCAACAAATGGTGCTGGGAAAGTTGGATAACTATGTGTAAGAAATTAAAGCTGGATCCATCTATTACACAAAAATTAATTCAAAGTGGATCAAAGACTATCTGACCAGAAACTATAAAATACATTCAGGAAAATATAGGCAGAATACTTCAAGATTTGTACCTCAAAAATGTCTTCTGTGATCTTATATCACTTATATCACTGATAAAGTCAATAATATGAAAAATAAACAAATGGGATTGCATTAAGTTAAAGAGTTTTTGCATTGGGAAAAAAACAAAAACAAAACAATGAAACAAAAGAAAACATGAAATAAAACTAAATGATACCTAGTATCTTAACCTAGTAGGAAAAATGTTTACATTCAATGCAATAGATAAAGGCTTGATACTCATGATATATAAAGTACTCACAAACAGCAACCAAAAAAATTTTAAAAAACCCTATCAACAAAGCGGGAGAGGAAGTAAATAGTCTCAGAGAAAGAGAGGTGTAGTGCCGGTAGGCACATGAAAAAATGCTCATCATCACTTATTATTAAAAGAAATTCATATCAAGATGACAATGAGATACCATCATACACCAAAGAGGACGGCACATATCAAAAACAGTAGGAACAATTTGTGTTGGCAGGGATGTGGTGAAAATGGAATTCTTTCTATGCATTGCTGGTGGGAATGTTGACTGTTACAACCCATATGGAAAACAGTATGAAGAGTTTTTAATAAACTTAAAATTGAGCTGCCATATGACCGAGCAATTCCTCGTTTGGGCTTCCATCCCAGGACATAAAAACACTCTCTCAAGAACATATGCCATTGCTTCACTCACTACAATAGCTAAGGTATGAAATAAACTAGGTATGTAATAACAGACGAATGGATTGTGAAGATGTAGTAAATATACACAATGGAATAATATGCAACTGCAAGGAATGATGAAATCATGCAATTAGCTGCAACATGATTGGAACTGGAAGATATCACGCTGTATGAAAGCCAGAAGAAAGACAAATATAGGATGATCTCACTCATCTCTGGAATGTAGAATGCTGGGTGAGAAAATGTACTGCAGTAAAAGGGGGTGCTTCAATTACCCATCAACCCATTCTCCACCACCAATTTTCCCAGTATTCCTCCTGCCACCCCACCCCATCTCCCATCTCCCCCCACCCCTCCCCGCCTCTGTGGCAGACACATTCCCTTTTACTCTCCTTTTGGGTGTTACGTATACATTTTTTTAATGGAGATTGGTTGCCTTTTACTTAAATGTGGTGTGCTACTCCTGGAACATCAGTGTCATAGAGTATGAGATGTCAAAAGTCTGTGAATACGGCTTTACACTCCAGGAATTCTGAAATTTTAAACAAGGTGATGCATCTGGAATTAAATTTTTAAATAGATGGTGACTTTGGAGTCCGGAGGCATCTCTGTGGCTTGTTGATCTCTTCTGAGATTCATATGTGTGTCTCTGGATTATGGCCATTAATGAGCTTATATGATGCCAAAGGCAGTTCGTGGGTGTGACTACCAGGCTCCAGGAAGAACCAGGAAAGAGGGGGAGGTCTCCCATCCTCAACTCTGAGACAGTCTGGAGATTTCAGTCACAAAATCCACATAATCTGAGTTTTTCAACAGATTCACTCACGCATGAGGCTTGTCCTGAGCCTGTGGAGATTGGCCGTGACACAGCAGCGATTGGGTTCTAGAGGTTTTCAGCTGCTGGTGTTCTGTTTGTATGGGTGGTGGACTTACCAGATCCTCTCTGGATGCCCCAGATGAGACTCATCCTGACACAAGGTCTGGAGACATCTCTCTAAACTAACATTCTTGAACATGTGTAAGATAGTATGATGGCTCCTTTGGAGGACTGAATAAATATGGTTATTTTTCTAGAACAGCCACCCCCAGTTAGTTAGATAATGGAATTGTATATAAATAGGCATGTATCAAAGTGGTAAAGCCTTGAGCTTGTAGACCTTGGGTTTATCCCCTAATGCAAAAAAAGTATAAAAAAATAACACTGTATTTTAAGAATTACACATCAGAAGTTCCCCCTTTCGTATTTGCTTGCCCCCATGCTGTCGTTGGACTGGAGAGGTAGTATAGCAGATTAAGGTTCTTATTTTGACTGTGGCAGGCCTAGGTTCCATCCCTGTCACTGGGATATGGTCTCCCAGTCCCCACGAGGAGTGATCCTAACTGCAGAGCCAGGACTAAGCCCTGAGCTCTGCCAGTGTGGTTCAAAAACATACAAACAAACAAATAAAAAGAATTGGGTGATAAATTACAGCTATTTTTTCAGACATTAAATGCTCAATTGTTCAGAAGAGTTTATTTCTGGTTTAGGTGATCATGGTAAATTACGTGTTGAAGTAGGTGTATAATTAAACTTAAATGAAATTTTCAGTTTATGGGGAGAAACAACATTGCAAGTGTGAAGAGTTATTCCAAAAGTCAGGGAGGAGAATCTTTTGAGTACAGCAATGAAGGGAAGAGATTCTCATGGGCACTTTCTACTAAAGTTCTCATGAAGGTGAAGAGAATAAGTGTATGTATTGTTGCCTCTGCTCTTGAGGTCTAGGGTCATAGGTTGAATCAGCCTAGAGGAAGTCTTAATTTTCAAAAACACATTATTTCATCTTTAAGTTTACTTCCCCCCTCCAATTTCTGCAGTTTTACTGGTAATAAAGTATATTTATTCCATTGTGGGAGTTGTGATTTTCCTTCTAATATTTGAATATATGGAAGTTGTTATCCTGTCATTTTTTTCCCTATGACTTTGTAGGCTTTGTACAGTTCACCTGCATGTTTTTTTTCAGAGAATACTCTTCATACAGAATAAACTGAATGCAGAATAAACTTCAATACAGAGTAAACTGAAGGCATTTGTTCATTTATTTGGGGGTGCTCAGGGTAAACTGAATGCATTTATTAACTGATTGACCATAAAACTAGTGGAGAAAGAAAAAATAAAAGATGACTCAAACTTTCAAGTTTTAGAGACCTGGGAAATATCAGATCATTAGCAGATAAGTTAGGAAAAAAGAAAACTCATTTTTAGCTGCCACCATAATTAGATATTGTTTTTATATGATTCTAATCATATGCATGAGATTATTATTATCCTCAGGTCAAAGTGTCAGGAAACCCTTTGCAACGTCTCAGATTAATGTTTTCTGGGTTCATCCTTCATGGAAACCTTAAGAGATCTGTAGGACTATCCAGTCCCCTTTTGTGGACAAGAAGGTTGATGATTAATGACTTTCAAGTAGGGAACTTTGCACTCTAGCGGTTATTTGACAATTTCTGGAGGCATTTTTCATCGCCGAGATCAGCGGTAGCACAGCGGTAGGGCGTTTGCCTTGCGCGCAGCCAGCCCGACCGAGCCAGGTTTGATTCCTCGCCCCTCTCGGACAGCCTGGCAAGCTACCGAGAGTATTCAATATGCCAAACACAGTAACAAGAAGTCTCATAATGGAGACGTTACTGGGCCTGCTCGAGCAAATCGATGAACAACGGGAGGACAGACTTTACTTTACTTTTCATCGCCATGGCTGAATTGTTATTATTTTCAGGTAGTTTTTGTTGGTAAGGAATACAGTTAAATATACTTTAATGCACAGGGTGGCTCCCACAGTGAAGCATCTGGTAAAAATGTTAGTTGAGCCACAGTTGAAGGATATTGGTTTACCTAAGATCACTTAGCTCATAAATGACAGATTCTCTATGTTTCTGTGAGACTGTGAGACTCTACATATATCCTTTACATCACATGTATCTTCCTCAGGAGGCTATAAAATAGCAAAAGTTAAATGTTTTTATTATTTTAAATAGAGACTTCTAAGGCAAATAAATCCAGTGGAAATGATATTTTAAAAGCAAGTATCTAATTGCATTTTCAGTTGGTGCTATTTTTAGTTTTTCTGTTATTAGGTCTTGCTCTGGAGCATTATTCATCTTCTTTGGATGCTAATTGAGTTGCTGTTATTTATTTCAGATGTCATTCTGTCAAATGACCAACCTGTGGCTCCAGTGTCATCTACCTCAAGTGGTAACAAAATAGAAAGTCTATCTGCTTCTAAAGCAAATGTACCAGAAACCATAATCATGCCAGCAATACCTGTGAAACCAGTTGTGACGGAGACTCTAATTGAAGGGAAGGAACAAGTAGGGAAGGGGCTGCTCCCTTTTCGTCACAGATCTGAGGGTGGCTTAGTAGATAAAGAAGTCTTGAAGAAATTTCCACATCTGTCTTTGTCTCAGTATGACTTTCTGGAAACTGATGTCTCTTTCCAGCCTTGGAGCAGTGAGAATTCAGTCCTGATTCCAGAATCTTTGAAATATGCCCAGGACTCTATAAAGGAAGAGTTGCAAGGCAAGTCACCTCAAAACAGCCTGAGCAGTAGCTTCCTTAAGAGTAACACAGTCATTGCCAAACCAACACAGGAGTCAGTAGATGCATCTCAGCAGGTGGATGCCTCTTTGAGCCAGGGAGTGGACTACTCGGATAGTGAGGTAGCAGTAACTCTGATTGACACGTCTCAGCCTGGAGACCCATTGAGTCTGCATGAACCCATTAAAATCGTCATCACCATGAGCAGTAGCCCTAACTCCATGACTGACATGGAAAGCTCACTCCATCTGAATGTGATTGGCACTGAAAGAACTAATTTAAAGACTGAAGCTGAAGTAACTACCCCAGAGATGGCCAGTCCTGCAAGTCTTGAACAAACAAGAATTCCTGTCATTACCCTTGAACTGCCTGAGGATGGACAAGGAGATATCAGTTGTCCAGAGAACAATGAAAGTGAAAGAACTCCCAAGAAATTGATGGTGGTAGATTCTTCACATCAGTGTTCTGGCTATGAATCTGGAGAGGGGGGGAATGCCACAAAAGACTACAGCTCTTCCCTAAAAGACCATTGTGAAACAACACCTCCACTCATGCCTAATGTGGTCTTTGAATCTGAGGGAGCTAAGGAAGGCCAGGCTAATCTTGATCCATCATTTTGTAAAAGTACCCATGAAAAGAGACATGCTCGGGTGCTCAGTGTGGATAGTGGGACGGATGTCTTCCTGAGCAAGAGTTCCACAGAAATTGTCAGCGATAAGGAGAAAACAATGCCAACTTCCAAATCTGACCTAGAAGCCAAAGAGGGACAAATACCAAATGAATCTAACTTCCTGGAATTTGTCTCCCTGTTAGAGTCAATTAATACTTCAAAAGTGGTGGCTTCTACTCAAAAGAACGGCCTACCAGAGCAAAACAGAGAAAATGGGCTTCTCAGAGGTATGACTCCACACCAATTTTATCCTGAAGATATAAAGGCAATGTAACTTTCTTGTTCATTAACTTCTGTGATTTGGTTTTACAGATAGTGGGATAGTAAAATTTTGGACAATTATTGGAAGAGTGGTATTGAGTACATTTGTGTTTTTTATTTTCGGTTTTTTTTGGGGGGTGTTTAGGAATTAAGCCACACCTAACAGTGCATGTAGTTTACACCTCTGGTGGTACTAGGAAGACTAATCAGGCACTTAGAGACTAAATACTTAGCCCTGTAGTATCTCTGCAGCCCTAGTCATGGGCATTTATTGAATATGCTGATACTAGTTTGTGTAATTAACTTGTATTTAAATGGGCTTATTTCATCAAAGAATTTAAGATACAGTAACAAGTTTGAACTTAGAAAGCAAGAATATTAATTTGCGGGGTTATGGGGCCCTGAAGTGGTGCTGAGGGCCTCAGGGGTCACTTCTGACAATTCTTGGTCAACTGGACCACATGACTTGATATAAGGACCTGAGGATATGGTATAACTCAGATCCTGTGCTTTCTGGAACACCAGAGTCTTCCCATTGGTGCTCAGTGTCACAGGGATAAATCTGGTGATGGTGATGGTACTAGGGATTGAGCCAGAGTTCCAGGTTCCAGGATCCCCTACTACTGTACTATCTTCCTGGCCCTCAAGACAACAATATTAAGCTCCAACTGTAGTTTATGATGCTAAGAACACAATTGACATGATCTTTCTTTATAGTAATAGACTCATTCTGGGAAAGCTGATTATTTCTGCAGAATTTCATTATAAATGAAATACTTTAAAAATAAAATATATTTGCTTTATGAAGATAATTTTCATTGATTTTCATTTTATTTAAAATCTCCAGTTCTCATTTTTCTCACTGATAAAATATTACTAAACTAGGGGCTTTGTAGTCCTTTAAAGTTTCAGTATCCACATTTCTTTGAATTTTGTGTCTATCATTTAAGTATTCCTTGCTGGAATTTGTGACTATGTGGTAACTCATTCCCCCTCTCACAGGTTGTAGAATATTTTGTGCTAGAGTTGTTCCTTTAATTCTGGTATTTTATACTCCCTGGGACAAAAAAGTGTCCCCCTAGTTCCATATTACTTGACAAAAATTTTTTCTTTTCTTTTTCTTTTTAACTTTTCTGTCTAAATTATACTTATGTTTGTGTTTTATGACCCTTGCTGAAGACATTCATTATGTTTTAAACCATGACCCTTGCTTAAAACACTCATTATGTTTTAAATTAAATTATGTAAAGTGGCTGTGTTCTCAATTTTACCAATAGAGCTAGAAGTTTTCATATAGAGTTAGGCAGAATGGAAAACTGTCAATTAAACTTTTAACAAACACAAACAGCACTAGTGAGAATTGGTTAATTTGAGATTAAAATCTTTCTGATATAATCTCTGAGTTGTCATTGTTTATTTAGTAGAGCCATATATCTAGCATTGTCCAATAGAACTTTTAAAATTTAATTATTCTTAGTTTAGATCACATGTTTACAATAGTGTTAACACTTATGATCAAATCAGCACTACCTCATCTCTTCACTACCAAAGTGCCCAAGACCCTCCATCAGCATTCTTCCATTACTTACAGACCATTTCTCATTCCTCCATACCCTCTTTCCTCCTTCTCTTGGTATTCAGTTCTATGATTCAGGAATAAGTGTTTTACCTTATCATTTGATAATGTCTATTTCCTTGTTTTCTTTCTTTACATATTAGAGCTGAGTGAGATTATCCAGTAGTTGTCCTCCTCTCTTTGACTTATTACTTTTAATATGATACCTTTTACTTCTATCCAAGCTGAGGTAGAATAATTTCATCTTTTCTGATGCTATATCATATTCCATTTTGTCTATCTGCCACAATTTCTACAAGAAACAGAATTGCTGAGTCATATGGGAACTCAATTCTTAAATTTTTGAGAAATTATCCTCCATATTGTTTTCTACAGGAACTAAAATCAGAAAATATTCCCACCAACAGAAAATGAAGGGTTTTTTTTACACCACATTACCACATGCAAGGCAAACACCCTGCCCAGCAGTACTATCTCCCCAGTCCAAGGATATTTTAAAATTTTAGACCTCGTTCCTTTTTCTGTGTAAAACTTTTAAAATTTGAAGCAGTTCTATTTGTTTCATTTTGTTTTTGTATTCTTGCCAATGGACTCAAATCATTGAGAATAACTTTGAGGTCCATATCCTATAGAGTTCTGTCTATGTTTTCCTCTATGTATTTTATGTATTCGGGTCTAATATACTTATATTTAACTTTTGTGTATGGTGTGAAACAGGAATTTGCTTGTAGCATTTTTCCCAACATTCTTAAATGTTGAAGAGGCTTTTCTGGCTCCAGTTCATGTACTCAGTTTCTTGGTCAGAGATTCATGCACCCAGCTTCTCCTTTGTCCATAACTCTGAGGGTTTACCTCCGGGCTCTCATTTCTACTCCATTGGCCTGAGAGTATATTATTTTTTACCACTCTGTTTTTGATTATTATAGCTTGACAGTGTAACTTAAAGTCAGGGTATGTGATGCCTTACAACTTTTTTTGTCAGAATGAATTTGGCTATTTAGGGTGTTTTATAATTCCCTACATATTTTTGACTCCCTACACATTTTTTGATTAGTATCAATTGCAGTTTATTCCAATAGTGTCTCCATTCTCTTCTTCCTCCCTTCTCCAATCCCCTTCATTCTCCTTCTCCCGATTCTCCTCCTTCATTCTTCTCCATCCTCCTTCTGGAACCCCCAATTCTCACGGATTACCCCCTCGCCCGCACTTACAGTCTTAGTTATACCCCAATCATAATGGGTTGGAATTACACATAGGTGTGTCATACAATCAACAGAGGTAAAGTCCTTCCCTCAGTGGAAGCTTCTTCTAGGACAAACTCTCATTCGGCAAGATGACCCACCAAGAATGAAATTCCATCTATGGATGTGTTTCTCCTTTCCTTAGTCAAAAAACATATAAACATTCATAATATTAGTCATATTGTTCTTTTTCTTTTCTTTTTTCTTTTTTTTTTATTGAATCACTGTGGGAACAGTTACAAAGCTTTCAGGTATAAGTCTCAGTCATACAATGATCAAACACCCATCCCTTCACCAATGCACATTTTCCACACCAAGAACCTCGGTATACCCCCTCCCACTCCTCCCCGTGCCAGTGTGGCAGATGATTTTCACTTTACTCTCTCTCTACTTTGATTCCATTCAATTTTTAGACAGAAAACTTCCCATTATTTTTTTGAAAGCATCATTAGATAATTTGTTTTCTATTGGTGATAATGAAGAGCATATTGGATTTCTGATATTTTAGTAATTAAGTCTGGAGGGATTTCTGCCAGAGGCCGCTGTGTTCTGAGATTGGTTAGTGTGCCTCTGGGATCACGTCCATTCAGGAGCTGGAGGAGCCATTTGTGGGCAGCAACTCAGGATCTCATCAGGGCGGGGAGAAGGGCCAGTTCCAGGCCCTGTCCCGTGAGGCCCCGCATGTCTTGGCACTGCAGGCATGTACCTCTCAATCCAATAGGCTCTGAAAGATGGTGGTCACCATCTGCCGAGCGGAAGAAGGCAGAAGGAACAACACCCCCCCCCCCCCCCCCGAATGGCATGGGGCCGTAGCTTAATTCACAGTCCAGAAGCATGAGCCACCATGAGATACAGTTACAAAACTTTTATGTTTGATATACAATTATACAATGATTGATCACCCATCCCTCCACCAGTGACTCCCTACACATTTTAAGAGTTTGTTCTAAGTTCTTGAGGAAGGTTGCAGAAATTTGATAGTAATTACAATGAATGCTTTAGGCATATGATAAATTTGGCAATGTTAATTCTTTAATTTCCTGAAGAGAAAATATGTCCTGGCTCTGTGATTAGGGATCAATCTTGGCAGACTCAGAGAACTTCCCTCCTGGTGGAGTCGAAGAATTGAACAGGGAATATTTTCTTACTTCCTGGGGGGTCCTCTTCCATTTCTTTCAATATCGACTTACAGTTTTCAATGAATAAGTTTTTCACATCTTTTGTAAAATTGCTGCCTAAATAGTTGATGTTTATGGACGCCATTTGAAATGGAAAACTTTTCTTCAATTCTTTTTCTTCTGGTTCATTCTTTTTTTGGTATTAATTTTGTTGCCTGCTTTTATGCTGTACTTTTTCTCCTAAGAGATTTGTAGTGGAGATTTTAGGGTTACAGTATTAATTTCCTTACTCATAATTGGTGCATTCTACATTCTTATGATTCAATATTGAAAAGTTGAATGATTCTAAGAAATCATCAATTTATTCTAGGTAGCATAGAGTTGTTCACTGTAATCTTTTATGATTCACTGCACCCTCCCACCCCCCCACCCTATGCTTTCATCTCTGGTCATATTTATTTTGGGTTTTCTGTTTTTCCTTGTGAGTTTGTCAATCATTAACAGCGTTTGTCCGTCTTTTATATTGTTTTGAAAAATCACAAAAAAAAAATCGTATGTGATTTCTTTTCTGTCTACTAACTTTGGGATTCATGTGTTGTTCTAGTTTTCCATGCTGTGGTATTAGTTTATTAGATATTAGTTTAATTTTTTCCCAGTGTAAGCAGTATTATTGTAAACTTCCCCCTCAGTACTGCTTTTGCTGTGTTCCATAAGTTTTAGTACTTTGTGACCTATATATTTGTTAATTTCAAGGAGTTTTAATATTTTGTTTTTGACTTCCTCTTTGAGCCAAGGCTTATTTAATTCAGTAGTTATTGTTCAGTTTCAATATTGTTCAGTAGGAGTTTCCTTCAGAATTTTATTTAATTAATTTTTTAAAAAAATTTTATTATTGAATCACAGTGTGATACAGTTACAAGCTTTCATGTTTGAGTTTCAATCATATGACAATCAAGCACCCATTCCTCCACCAGTGCACATTCTCAACCACCAATGTTTCCAGTATACCCCCCCTTTCCAACTCTCCCCTG